AGCGACGAGGTCAGCACCGTCGGCAACGCGCTGTCCTGGCTGTACCTGGCCAGCGAGCTGTCGAAGGGCAGGCCCGTGGCGCCGCACGGGCGCTGGATCAACGATCTAGCCCGCGAGGAGGCGGGGGAGCCGTATGGCCGGCACGAGAATCGGTTGCGGAGGACGCTGGGCCATGATAAGGGGGTTGGGGTTGCGGAGTTTGGGCTGTGCTTGCGGAAGTCGAGGCATGCGGGGGGGAAATAGGAAGAGAGGAGCGGGGGGAGGGGCCAAGCGAATGGTTTGGTGGAGGGTCTATCCTTCTATACATGTAGTAATCTAGTTATAACTAATAATATTATTATTTAATTTTTCTATGTCGTCGTTATTTTTTCCCCTTCTTCTTCTTCTTCTTCTTCTTCAGCTACATTGGGTTTAACGTTTTCAATCAATTACTCTTGTAGGTTTTTTATCAACACCCATCCGGCTTATTTTGTTGTTTTCTTGCGTTCTGCGCTCCCATTTGTGATCCACCTCTTACTCTGTTACCGGGTTACGTGCACGTCTACTTACTTACACGGGCTAGATATCTATAAGGGCTTGTTTATGTTTATATGTTCATGTATGATGTACTGTATATATATATATAAATAACTACATGTCGCGCAATGACAATAATTTACACACATATATATATATATTTCGTCGCTTGCGGCGCACACGCAGAAATACCAAAATACTAAATGCTACGAAATGCGGTAAGGAAATCGAAACACCCTCACCTCTCTTCTCTCCCCACTGCCTAAATAAAAATAATAAGAATAGGTAAATGTCGAATCGGCGCTGATCTGATAAGTGAGTGTGTTCCATCGCCATCGCCGAACGCAAGACCGAATATTATTGAATCGAGTCAGAGTGGGGGAAAGGGAAAGGGAAGCAAAGCAAAGCAAAGCAAAGCAAAGCAAAGCAAAGAAAAGCACCACCCCCTCCCTGATTATGGAAATAAAGAAGAGCGACGTTTTATTCCAGCAAAAAATTCTCTTTGATTGACGCTTATGGGAGAGGGGGAATGTATATTATGTATATTATGTATATATATCATTTTCTATTTGTTAACGTTAGAGCAAGGTAAAGCAAGTTCGTATGGTATGGTATCGTTGCGCGTTGAATAAAATAGAGATAGATAGAGATGGATGATTTCATGGTGGATAGGATATGTGGGATAGATATATCTTAGAATCTTCTTCGTGCGCCCAGCCGCGCTACCCTTATTCCTGAAACTCTAGTTCTCAGAGTGAAGAAAATAGGGAAGGGGGGCAGAGGGATGAGAGTGTGTGTGCGTGTGTGTACATATAACATTTCGAAATCCAGTCGCTAAGCTTCAAAAGGAAAAAAAAAACAGGGGGAATCCGGCTAAAACAAGAAACAAAGAATAAAATGGCGGCAGGTATTGGAGCTGAATTAAGGCCATTTTAAAAATGGGAACTAAAAAAAAAAGAGAGAAAAGAAAACCGGGATGGGTCTTTGAAGGGCTTCGGCGTTGGTCGTTTGTGTGGTGGTGGAGGATATTCTGACTGAAGAAGGGTGTATAAATAGATATCATCAAGGAGACATCACAACGCATGAATACTGCGAGTTTAGGGAGCACGGACAGCGTTGGGATAAGGGCGAAGTGCGACGCGCTTGCGCTTGGGTATATTTCTTTGACAGTAAATCGATTTCGAAACACGAGGTGAGGAATACTCTTAAGTGGTGGGCGTCGCATCGCGTCGTCTTCTCTTCACTTGCTCCTCACATTCTTCAGCGAGGCGATGTAATGCGATGCGGAAAAAGAAAACGGTGGTTATTACGGAAAATCCCATCCCTCCCAAATATCCAACGGAAGATAGCCCGGTCGACCCAGCCTACAGCAACGCAATTGCCAATCCCAGCGCGCTGAGGCCGAGGGAGCCAGCAAGCTGTGTTGAGCCGGAGTTTCCTTGTGCGACGCAGACCTTGCTGCGTGTTTGGGTCGAAGGGTTGTAGCAGACATTCGACGGGGTGATGCAGGAAATGTAACCGCTGCCGAAGCATTCGCTGCAGGTTGTGCCGCCGTTCGGGCAGGTCTGGAAGTCTTGGTTGCTAGGTCCATCGTCACCATCGTCATCATCATCATCACCACCATCGCCGCCGCCGGACGTGCCATGTCCGCCTCCCTTGCCGCCTTTGGGAGTGCGGATTTCAAGGCCCCCCGCGCGCCGCTCAACTGAAGTGATCGCAATCAGGTCGCCGGCGTTGTTTTGGGTTGCGGAGGCGATGGAGCCGAATAGCAGGACGAGGAGGGTCGCGACCAGTGGCCACGCCTTCATGGTGACGGGAGACATTGTGGTGGTGCTGCTGCTTTGGAATTGATGGTAGAAATGGGGAGAGGAGGTTTAATTTTATGATTGGTTGTTTGTTGCAAGTTCAGAAGGGAATGCGGTATGATTGGAAAACGGGGCTGAGAAGGGAGAATTGGTGGATATATATATATATATATATATATATATATATTTTTTCCTGGACTCCGTCTTCGTATCAAAATTGACCAACGCCTTTAGTTACTTCTTTTTCGTTCGTCGCAACCCCATCGCCGTTGGTTGACTTGTGGCTAAGCGAATCCAAACGTCCATACAGCCTGCCGCTATTGATTTCTGGCATGTGACATCTGGCTGGAAAAAATCGCTTATTTTTTCTGCTATCTTTGGAGTGCAAAAACAAGTCTGCGGGCTGGCGGTTTTGCCCATGAATTGTTCTTAATTTAGCTGGAAAAAACGAGTGCTAGGCCCCGACCACTGGGGAGTCAGGGACGTTTCACAACGTGCTCAGGCGGAGCCGCGCCTCGTTGCCAAGCGGCTGTGAGCCTTCCTCATCTTTGGGGCCTTGGCATGGCAGCTCTGAGGCTCCAGGGGTAGAGCAGTGGGCTGGCATGTTGCCTCTTTCGAGCTAAAGCCCGCTGGCCGAGGAGAGAGGAGCGACTCGAGCGAGTGTCAAAATCCTTACACGGTGGATCCTGAGGATCGACATGGTTGTTTACGAGATCCAATTTTCGAATCAGCTGCAGGTGGGTCTGAGGCTCTGCTGCAATTCGGCTTTCCGTGGCTTGAAAAGGCTTGCATGAAGCAATTGGCTGGAGCCGCATCTCAAACCCTTGAATATATTATTCTTCATTGGTTTTTGTGAGAGAGATATGGCATGATTTGAATTACTCTGTAGTTCAAGGACTTGGTGGACAATGAAATCAGCCCACCTAACAAGTTGTGTGTTTGATCAAACATGAGGCGGAATTTCTTGGAATCGGGAGCTCCAGAGAAATCCGAACACCACTGCGGCCAAAAGGGTTCCAAACAATCATCATGATGATGGAGAAACGGCTTGGAGAGCGAGCTACAGTGCGGATTTTGTGTGGCGCTATGGTGAAAATACGAGAATCGAATCCAGCAGATCGGGAGATTCGAGAGTGGGCGCAAGGAGACGCTAAAATGTGTTAGTCTCCTGGAGGAAAGAAACTCCTCAATGCCAACAGTGTTCAGCAAAAAGTCAATATTTACTCCAATCAGCGGTCACAAACTTGGAGCGTCTGAATTGTGATCGGCTTCCAAACGAACATGCAGAATAAATTCTTCGTATCTTCGGGGCATCATGCGACACGAAAAACGACTAAGAAAAGATCAGGCATGAGAAGGCTGAGGAAAAATTTCATCCCTTCGCATGTCCTCATCATCAACATACCACCTTCATGGACTCCTGGAGAACTGTAGACTATCCCCTTGGCCAGAAGTTGATAATTTCTATTCCGCTCCCTAATCGCGGACGGGCGCCTAGTTGAAAAGGCTACATATATCAAGCACTTTAACCTTGTATCAGCGCGATCCGTTTTTGACCAGGACGATTTCTCTCGTTGACCATTATCAGCATGATGAAGTGGTCGGTCCACTCATCTTGATAGATAAATAACGCCAAAGGACAAAAAATGAGCAAAAACGATTTGCAAAGCTATCCAGAAGCTGTTGAAAGGCGCCGGGCTGTTGGTCGCGGGATGTCTTTTGTCCGCCCATTTGATAGCAGTGTAGCTGGATGAAGCATCAGTCCACTCAGATTCTTCCTCAGTGAGCCAGACACAATCAACTTGATGCCAGAAGATGGCATCACTAGTAAAAGAAACTTTGAAACGCGAACTCAGGAAGGTTAATTCGCAAGGCGAGGCTTCTTCATGCCTGACAAATGTGAGGCAACAAGTCAATTAAATTGGGCAGTGAAATCGATGAGACTTTATGTATTGTATCCCCCTGTCCATGCGCACGAGCTAGCTTTTGGTGTTCGATGATTGCCACCCAAGGCAAAATCAGAGATAGAGGGTATCAGAACGATAAAGAAAGCTCTTCGAAATTCTGGCTTTCGACAACCGAGCCAAGACACAATCGAAACAGCCAATGAGCAAAGCCAGGGGAGCGTTTGTCATTTGAATGGTTAGGCTGACATGTTATCCTCTGCCAGGAGTGCTACCATGTTTTGCAGGGCTTGTTGCGTCCATCCTGTTGGGGGAATCTGGCATCTGGCACCAATCAACAGCATTTAACTGGTCCGCCTGGCGGAAACGGTTGCCAAGAATTGATAGCCGATTCTTCAGCACATGGAATGTCCAATTCGGGGTGCATTTTTTGTGGATATTATTTTCACCTGGGCTGCTTGCATGCCAGGAGCCGGCGCAAAGCCAAATTTAATGACAGGAACAAAATCGAGTTTGAAGAGCTCTCAGCTTCGCGAAGTCTAGGAAAATTTAGAAAGGTAAATAACATAGGGGCTGTCTGACGTTGATCGACTTGAAGTCTCTTCCGGCGTGTTCAAGATAAATTTGGTGTTCCCGCAGTAGTGGACATGGAGAATCATTTGATCAAGCCCGTAGGATCGTGTCTGAAGAGACGCAGCCCATTTTCCACGTGGCTAAATCTCCAGATAGCACATGGCTCCCTGCAAGTTCAAAGACTTTTTGCTGCTCTTTGTTGTCAAGTTGGTAGCGGAGGTTGATTGTTCCCAAAGCACCACATAGTCGTTGACCACAAGAGCTGGCTTGAATCCCAGGTTGCCAAGGAACGCCTGCCCAACTCATGTGCAGATGGAGCCGACCCTTGGTCGTTTGGGCGGTTTGGAATGTCTCCAGGTTGAAGGTACGGCTCTACTCCATACTTGGATACTGAATTCCGAAAACTTTCAGGGTTGTTTGGCTGAGTCCAGGAGCGGTGCAACCATCGGGTGCATGTACGCTCGACCGCACATTTCTCTGAACACCAGTTCCAACGCCCCTATGGTTCCTGGGAGATCGTGTAAAAACATGCTTTTACCACTACACCAGAAGGATCAATCCTTAAGGTGGGTAGCCCTTCAAGCAGCAAGATATTTTTTATCCATTCACAGGTTGTCTCTCGCACAACGATGAAGCACAGGTAGTCAATGTAGCTTCTAGCAAAGGCTTGCCACTCCATGCCCCAACGTTCATCCCCTGAGAGATATTCATAAGGATCGTACTCCAAATCACTTTGGAGGCTCTTGTAGCTTTGACGACGCCGTGTTATGACATCCGTCTCGTTGATTGGAAACAAACCACAAAGCCTGTTGCATATTGTTAGGCCACTGGGGCAAAAGAGCTCTCTCACACCAGCGCCATGCTGGTTACCTGGTAGTAGAGGGGACGAACCGATCCAAGCAACACATATTTTCATCCATGTAAAACTACGAAATAATCACGTGAAAATAGCTAGCTGATATAAGCCAACCAGAAAGGATGATGCCAACGACGACAATGCCTTATCGTGTTGCAAATTATTAAAGCAGAGCTATCTCATATGCTGCCGAGGGATGCTCGGCCGTCACCATTTCAGGGCCTGCTCTCCATCACGGGGAGATTATCTTGTAAAACATATAAAGTATAATTAACCCAGTCGAAACGGTGGTGATAGATTAGGCCCGTTCACAAATTCGAACTCATAGCGCTGGGTGAAGATATAGCAAACTATTCAACATGGATTCGGTCCCGCGGGACATCCCAGGGTATTACTATGGTACGTGTGAATGCATCATACCTACGGTTTCAGATCGTAATGAGATGTCGCCTTCGTTCAAGAACAATATTTTAGAGCTTGTGTACTGCCCTGGATTTGTGCACCATGGGGCGTTCTGTTCCCCTTTTTGAGTAGGTGAATTGTTATTGTCTGTTGTCGGGAGTCCATTTACTCCATGTTTGAGAAACTGCGGATTGAAATGTGCGTATGGATTCTATGGTGATGTGATTGCCATGGGATTATCGAATATGTTTGATTTTCTTTATTTCCATCGAGCACCATATAAGTCAAAGGAATTTCAATCTTGCGCTTTAAACTAATTGTTCAACGTTCTATGCGCTCCAGATGCGGAGAAGAACAAGTATTTCAAAATCCAAGCAAATCACACTGCACCATTAGGATCGAAGTATTCTAGGGATGTCATAAAACAAAGGGAGCAGACAGCTCTGGTCAGTGTTTTATAGCTACTCGTCGATTGCTACTTGAGGCGGGTATGCTAATTTTAACATGCAGAGACGAAAGAGAATAGAAGATCACTCCCGGCGAGTGTCGACAGAGACTATCAAAAGGTCAAACATGCTACATTATCCGCTGGGTGGCAAATTGCTGCAGCGGGAGTGTGGCACACTACCCACGTCGAGGAGTTTTGTTTCTGAAAACTGTGCAGCCGTATGTGCAAGGCTATATTCAAGGAATCGCTTGGTCGATGTAACGAGCCTGGATGTCCTATTTCCCGTGGCGAGGTTCGCCAGAGACCCTTGGACTGGGACTCTCCTGGTTGGTGGGTATCTCAAAGTGTTCAATGGCGTTTATTGTTCCCGATTTTGACGTACTTTCAATCCAGCGGTCAATACGGCGTGGGACTTTAATCTTCTGTATAGCTTGCCAATCCCCCTGCTTTTCATTTGACCATTGCTCCATGCTGACATCGTTGTTAGGTCTTATCTCCCCAAGAAACAAAATCGACCCTGGCAGTACAAATCGCATCAGAGACAGTGCAATCGGGTAATGATTGGGCATGATTGGGTAAGTGTGATTGCAAAAGTGGATTTCGATCTTTCTAAAGAGTTTGACAGGTCACATCGCTCACTGTAGGCCCAACTGGCTGGCTTCTGTGAGTGTCTATATGTCGCTATGCTTTCAATTGACCGATGCTAAGAGAGCATACCCAGTCTTTCAACAAGCAGCCCAAACAGTGAATCCGTGCATATTTCAACTTGTAAACTCGAAGACCCATGGGATGGGGTACCTGTGTCTGATTCATTGTGTAATTATATCTCGGCTATCTCAAAGCCACCCGACTCCCATTATTTGAAAACATCCAGCCTGCTCCTAGAATCACACTAACAATATCTCCGTCAAAAGTTTCTGGAACCAGATTTTACTATAATGGTTCAATGATAAGGTGTTCCGCCGCGTGCCCAAGCCTAACGGATAGCATATTCGTAGTTAGCAACTCGAGTGACCTGTTACTCATCACTCGGACCGAATCAACCTGGGCAGCCAAAGACGTCAAGCTGCCGAATACTGCTGATGTCATGTCTGTGGAGTGGCTGACACCTCGAGTGGTCATCGCCGGGATGAATAACTCTCTGGTCCAGTTCTTTGATCTGCGTTCTCAGGATACTGTATCGAGACTCCAGCATCCACATGGTGTATACAAAATTCGGAAGGTGGATGAGTGGAGAATTGTGGTGGCAGGAGCGAAGAAAAATGTATGCCTGAGAATATCGGAACTTCTCTCTATTGCCCCTTGGTCATCATCGCTAATATGAATACCCTTTTTCCAACGCTGGTAGCTACACATGTATGATCTCCGCTATGCCTCAAGCGGCATCGCAAGGCATCCTCAGCCCAACAAACCCAATCACACCTCGACGAAGCCCTATATCTCATTCCACGAATACGAAAACGACCACATATCCCATGACGAGCTAGATGTCAGCCCCGAAATCGGTCTTCTCGCATGTAGTAAGTTTCCACTCCCTTCTTACTTGCCCTTGCACACCCCTCCGGGGAAAATAAAGGAAGAAAAATAAGAATAGAAAACAATTCAATCTTCAACTAACTATATCTTTAGCTTCTCCTTCCAAGAGGATCCAGCTTTTCTCCCTCAGCACTGGCAAACTTATCATGCCTCCACCCCTAGTTTCTTCCCATTCCTCTTGCCTATCATCCACCCCAAACACACCACTGTCAATACCATCAAGCCGCATCCAACTACAAGCACACCAGGGCGGGGTCGCCGAAGTTCCCAATCCCAATCGCGCAGATACACCCATAACCTACTACCAGTATCAAGACCCGATTACCTGTCTCCGTTTTGAGAATCTGAAGGAGGTGCCAACGGCAAATGGTGCGGGGAATACGGGAAAGCCGAGTTTGTTAGTTAGCGCGGGGAATATAGTTGAGGAGTGGCGGATGTGAAAAATGATCTGGATCATGATCTTATTATTGACTCTTAAAAACAAAGAGTAACTGGCTAGAGAAGGGAATTCTTGTTTTCTTCCTTGTTGTTTCGTTTTTACTCGATGTTAACAGGGCGCTGACGACTCCAGTTACATACGATTTTGCCATTCACATTTACAGACAAGGTGTTTTGTTGTGTTTTCCATGGTTATGGACAGGGCTAGCAGAGAAGAGGGTATCGTTGTTTAGGGTCCGGGTAGTTCTTGAAATTATTTTTGTTTTATATCGTTGTGTGATTAATTTATTATGGGAAACTTCAACAGCATGTGTAGATATATCAACATTTCGAAATCGGACCCAGGAGTTGGTGAGAGCAAGGGCCTTGGTGCGTAAGACGTTGAGTGATGGAATATCATATAATGACAATGTTGATGCTCATGCCTTGTGCTTTGGATTTTATTTAATTTATTTTTGCTAATACCATCGCCGGAATCTCAAACATATCAAAGTTCAGATTCCTAGAAGCGGAGTGAAAGCTAAGTCATCAAGCTCTGATAATATGGATTTTCTGTGTATCAGTTCACTCCAATCTAAATATAAAACAAAAAACCCACAAATACAACCATCGATGTTTACCTCCCTCTCTCCTCCGGAAACTCATCTGCAAGCTTCAATCTTGCGACAACATTCATACTAAAAAGCTCCTGAACCAGCAGCTTCGCCGCATAAGGGATTACCATCTTCACCACCCCTCGCGACGTCTTACAACGCTGGCACCACCCCAAATACCCCATAAACCCACAATTCTCACAGACATCCACCTCATGCCGATCGGACGAAATCATCAACCGCTCTAACAACAACTGGCTCGTTCCATACGCAATCAGACAATCGCGTTCCATCTCGCCAAGCCGCAAGCCACCATCCCGCGACCTCCCCTCCGTCGGCTGCCGCGTCAAGATCGCCCGCGGCCCGCGCGCCCGCGAATGCATCTTATCCTGAACCATATGCTTCAGCTTCTGGTAATATATAGGTCCCATAAAGACGTAAGCAGGGAGTGGCTCCCCCGTGATGCCAGATGTGAGATAATCCTTGCCGCCATACGAAAAGCCGTGGTCGACAAGGATGGCGGACATTTCCTCCACGGGGCTGCCGCCGAAGGCAGTCCCGTAGCCGAACTGGCCAGAGAGAATTCCCGCTTTACCCGCGATGAGCTCGAGCATTTTGCCCACGGTCATGCGCGAGGGGAAACCGTGCGGGTTCATGATAATATCCGGAACGATCCCGAGGTCGCTAAATGGCATATCTGCGTGCTCGGCGATGATGCCGACGACACCCTTTTGGCCGTGGCGGGAGGAGAATTTGTCGCCGACTTCCGGCACGCGAGTTTGGCGCGTCTGGACTTTGATGAGTTGGTTTTCGGCCTCGGTGGCAGAGATCATCACTTTGTCGATGTAGCTGGGGTCGGGAAGTTTGTAGGTTTGCGGAGAGGGGATGTAGGCGATGGGCCTGCCGGCGTCCGAACCCGTGATGCCGGATGAGAGGGCATTTTCCGGCGTGACTTTGTTGATGTAGACTTCACCGTGGTTTACTTTTTCACCGACGGCGGCAAGGCCATCATTATCGAGGAGGGCGTGTTTGCGGATTGGTACGCCATTCTCGCGATCGGGTCCTTTAAGTTTGTCCTTTGTGCCGTTGGAGTAACTTTTAAGGTTTGTGGAATATTTCCGGAAAACCTGGCAGCGGCCGAAGCCGCGGTCTACAGAGCCTTTGTTTAGGACGAGAGCGTCTTCAATATCGTAGCCAGAATAGCTCATGACGGCAACAGTTGCACTTTGGCCGGCAGGAAGCTTGTCGTATTTGATAAGCTCGATTGTTCGTGTTTTCACCATCGGTTTTTGAGGGTACACCATGGTATAGAGGAGTGAGTCGATGCGAAGGAATTGGTTGTTTGCGATAGCACCGATCGCTTGCTTACCCATAGCACATTGATATGTGTTTCGGGGGGATTGGTTATGATGTGGGTAAGGGATGAGACCGGCCACAGCGCCGAGAATGGTAAACGGTTCGATTTCCAAATGCGTCGTGCTCTGAGTAATGTCTTCTTCATAGACGGCGATATAGGAGTCGTTTTCCTCATTACAATCCAAATACTCCACGAGACCATGAGCCAAGAAGTCGTCGAATTCCATCGTCCCGTTCCTGAGCAACCGGAGATGGCGGTTGGTTACCTTTGACTTCCCGTCTTCAACAATGATTAGTGGGCGGCATATCCGCCCATCGTCCGTCGCGACGTGCACTGCGTTTTGATGATGATTAATGAAGACGCTGATGAATTCCGAAACCCGTCCCGTCCGTCGCAGCCGTCGGAACGAATTTAAGAAAAATTTCGGCCGCCGTGTTAGGGCGATAGGGGATCCATTGAGGAAGATAATGTAAGCCCCCTGGCCATGCAACTCGCGGCCACCGACAGTCTGCACATCTTCTGCACCAAGAGCGAATATGAGTTTCCTCACAGGCTCCTCCTCGTCGTTGGTAGTGATATGCGTCATAAGCGCCAAGTTCTTTACAAGGCCACAAGCCTCACCTTCTGGCGTATCGGATGGGCAAAGCATACCAAACTGGGACGGTTGCAGGGCTCGAGGCCCTGAGACTTTGCGCGTCTTCTCAAACTGACTTGAAATACGGGTCATCATACCTAGCGCTGCTATGTAGCTTAATCGACTCAATACATGAGTAACGCCTGCGCGCTCCATGCGGAAACGCTTCAAACTCCAGTTACCGGTTGAGATGGCCCGGTTCATACCCTGGGTGATGTGGTTTCCGTGAATCGCGACGACTCCATATGCATCGAACTGTTCCGTCCGCACCGGCTTTTTCAGCACCTTATCGATATTCATTTTAATATCAAACTGAAATTTCTTGAACAGATCTTCAAACAACAAGGCCAGAAGCTGGCCAGCCAATTCCAAGCGCTTGTTGCCCACATAATCCCGATCATCTACTAGACTGGGGTCGTGCTTCGCCATCAAAACGCGCCGAGCCATATGCGCGACATACAGAGCTTTGGGGCGGAAGTTCAAGTTCTCCACGACGACATGAGAGATGATAACGGAGGAAATCGCTTCGATGGCTTCCTGGACATGGTTTCGTCGGGTAATTCCGAAGCTGTTCGGCTTCCGGTTGATTTTTATTCTGCTACCGATGTATTCCAGCGCTTGATGCTGCGTATATATGCCGAGTTTCACGCTTTCTTCAAAGTTGATGGCAAAGTCTTCTTGGAATGTGCTGTCGATGCCGGCAACAAGAAGCAACATTTCCTTGTCGGACTGGATCCCCATCGCCTTGAGAAGGATAACTATTGGAACATCTTCACTAAGAACGTTATGTCTCATGTATATCCGATCCTTTTTCAGGATGATGTAACTCTTCGATTTACGCTCGTTTGAGGAACTATTCCATAAACATTAGCGAAATATCTTCCATAAACGCATAAACTAAGCAATGGATATAAAAATGTTAATACATCCAGCAGTAGAACACACCTAGTAACCGAAGCCTGCACAATCTCTTTCTTCAAGTCCGTCTCCACAATAACCCGATTTTTACTCAATTGCTCTTGTACCAAAATAACCTTCTCAGTCCCATTGACGATGAAATACCCACCAGGGTCAAGAGGACACTCTTGTAGCAACTGCATCTCTGCCTCTGATTTATTCGACAACACGCACTTGGAGCTCCGTAGCATAACCGGCATCCGACCAATGGCGGTCCCGTTTCGCTTGACCCGTTGTCTGCCACGGACATATTCGAAATCGACCAGAATAGGGGCTGCATAGGTCATGTCACGCAGGCGGCATTCGTTTGGAGTGATAGTGGATGCTAAATCAAATTTGGAGTCTTGCTCTTCGTCTGCCCGCCGGGGATTGCCCAGGTATATATCATGGAATCTAAATGAAAGCAGGCCAAGTAGTTTAGCAGTTGCTTTCTTCAAAGTAACATATTCAAATGAAACTAGGTGTATAGAAAGGAAGAAGTACCTGATATAGAAGTTAGGATCAACATCGCTACGAATCTCTGCGCTTGCCTGTACGATTTTTTTCAATTGAACCTCAACGAAGTAGTTATACGAGTCGATATGTTGTTTGACTAAACCCTTAATTTTAAGGAAGGCAGGCAGTAGGTTCCATTTATCTTGGGCAGTATTAATTGGATCTGTGAGGGATTTGCTGTAGTAAAATGGGTTGAGGAGTGCGTCGAAGTCCTACGTTTTCAACGTTAGCCAATCTCCTTAACTTTTTTTATGGAATTACAGTCTACAGCTGTTTCCACACAAACTAGGCGAAAAGAAAACTATAAAATACATCGCCTCCTTTCTTCCCCTTTCTGTGATGCGAATGGTCAGGTTTATGGGATTCCGCCGCCTGCGCATGGGCTGCGGTAGCAGCTGGGTCAACAGCAGAATTGATCTTGAGGGTGGGAGCTGTTTGTGCCGCGCGATTCCTTTTCATAGGGCTTCCAGGCATTACTGGGAGGGGCATAGAGTCCGGTTCCTGCGCAGATGAATTTGTCAATCTTATAAGTTGTGGGGGCCAAAATGAGCTATAACAAAGCTGTATGTGCAAATACCCATACATTGGAGGGGTCAGCTGGAGGAGCTACCGTTCTTCGGGGAGTCATTGCCCTCTTCAAGATGCCTGGGAAAATTAGGAGAACTCAGAGGAGGAGCATGGTATGTTCGTAGAAGAACATATACAAGGAAATTAGATCATAAATCGTGAGCAGCCATGTTTATAGCTCTTTGTCCTTCCGTCACCAATTCCTCCATATTATTTTTTTATCTGATGACTCTCCGGAACAATTTGCGCCGAGGCTCCGGAATGATTATGTAACCAATAAATCAAGCATTGGTCCAAGCTCCAATGTACTAGTCCATTTACGGAGCAACATCACGTGATAATCCCGCATCCTCCATGTCATGTCATCTAATGTCATCTAACTATAAAATGGGATATTAGATATTATTGTCCACTACATAGCATACGGAGCACACAAGAAACAAAGAAAAAGATATGGAAACACATTCCGCAAGCCTATATCCACTAATTCATGGCGCCCCTTCGCCAGTCTGTGCTCATTTGCTCACTCCAAAGCAATTGACCCCACCGCTCATCCTTCGCCTGCTCCCCTTTTTAGCCTCCAATGATCTCTTCCCCGGCCCCTTTAGCTATACCCTTGCCCTCTTCAATGAAACAGCAATTTTGATGCCCGACAAGCCCTTTCTTTTGTCATCCACCAATTTCGCGCATCAATTGGCTTGTAACAGCATTGGGCGCCATTTCCTGCTTGACGAAGATGATATCGGCAGCTAAATCCCTTTGGCGCTCGCCTCGCATTCTGCATGCATACATTCATGCCTAACCCACTCTATACTGGCGATAATACTCTAACCCAACCCCGCGAAGAAGACGAACATGTCCTCCTTTATTCTATTTTCGTCGCCTTCTGCTCCAATGCCATTTGCACATGGAGATAAGAAGGAGTAGGAGAAATCGAGGGTGGGGTAAAGATGAGCCGAGTGGATTCTGAACTAGAAAAAAGGGAAGCAAGAGAAAAAAAGAAAGTAAACCGCCCCTCACCGCAGCCTCCTCTGACATCATGAGGTATTGCGCATGCCCCGCTCCTAAGCCAAAAAATTAAAAGATGTATCAGAACTGTGAGCATGCCCCACTATGTTGATAGTCATCATCATCCTGACACATGTCATTCTCCCTGGGCGATTCGGTACCTCGTTTCTAGCTATATGGAGAGACACATCACTCATGCAGATTACACATGTGAATATCTATTTTTTTTTTCATTTAATGCAATCCCAGGGCCGGGGGAGTGGCTTAAGAAGCACGATTGACATGTCTTCTGCACCACCTAAAACTAAGGAGAGTATATTGCACTCTTTCGCTGGCGATCCTTTTTATTCCCCGCAATTTGTGCATCGTATGGAGAAACGGGATTTTTCTTCTCCCCTCTGTTTTTCTTCGTCTCGCTATTGCCGAAACAACACAGCAGCAGCAGCAGTAGCAGGGATTTGAACCCTTGACAGCGTGACGGCTCTTCTGCCGCTGCTGTTACTTGGTGGATGATGTCACAATAAAGGACCCGGCTAGACTGCCTGCAGAGTAGTGTACTGTGCATATACATTTATTTACCTTAAATGCATGAAATGTCTATACTCTGCGAATGCGTAGTACATTTGGGTTATGATTGGGCAATACGGTAATTTGCTTAAGTCTTGCTCGTTTGGATCACATAGTTGGGTAGGTTTCGAGCTGCGGAATGAGTTGGAGTGAATATTTCTTAAGATGCACTGTGATATGAGGAGTTTATTATTTTATTAGAAGGGCCAACGCAAAGCGAAGTGAAGACGATGAATGAGGGAAAAAAACAAAAGAGAGAGAGAGAGAGAGAGGAGAGAGATACATGGAAAAATCCAGCTACCTAACCAACGCAGCAGAGTAACATATAAAACTTTACAACCAGGCCCAATTGCAACAAAATGATCAAAATCAGTAGCCATTACACTTGTCCAAATGCGAATCCCTGTGTTCATCCGTATACCCATCCACGTCTTCCATCGATCTTCGCCCCCTTTTCACATGGAGAGGAGGGAATACCCGCGAACCAAGAGATGAAACGAACTAGAACCGTCACATTTCACTAATAAACTGAAAGTCCACCCATGCCATGTCTAATCTGGCGCCCCTCGCAGACGTTTGTCTGTCCCGACATCAGTCGTCCAAAGAAACTATCCAAACCGACGCGTATCGACCTAACTGCCTCAAATATCTGCATGCAAAGTGTGAAGGGCAAAATGGTATCGATGTGGATATTTTTGCCTAACCCTTCCACAGATAGACCCACTTACCTCCTTCCTGGCCCATTCACAGTCGGCATAGCATTTATCATCCCCATCATCACAGAAACACATCTGGCGCCTCCCCTTCCCATGTATCTTGCTGGTCCTGGTCGTACTCCTGCTCCTGCAACTGCCGTTGGCCCTCCGGGCCTTCACCATTTTCTTCAACAGCGGAACCGTCGACAACGCTAGGACGACAAGAACCCACCTCACCATCCCGGCTCAGTCCACGCTCTGTCTGATTCGATGATGACACACTGCGTCTCTCACCCGGCAGATGCTGGCAAAGATCAAGCAACAGACGCACTTTGGGAAGTAGAACGTCCCTGCCATAGCGCAGGATATTGCATGTCGCTCTCTGGAGGTCGCGCAGGGAATTGGTGTCGCTGAGGAGATAGATGGATAGTAACTCCGTGTTGAATAGGCGGGAAGTGCTTGTAGATGTAGCTGTCGCTGCAGTGGTATGCTGTTGCTGTCTCAGTTGTATTTGTAATTGTGATTGCGATTGCGATTGCGAATGAGAATGGAATTGGGATTGGGATTGCTGTGCCTTCCTTGCCCGTGACCTGCCACTAACCGTAATCCAATGAACATTCAACCGCGCAATCTGCTGGTCCATAGTTAGTGAGAAGAACCAGGGCTGCGTTTCGTCAAACTGGTGAGTACCGACGGTGCGGCGATGCAGCTCGAGGAGGCTGTTTAGAGATATGGCGGCAGCACTGCTGGCTTCTTCTGTTGCTGTGTGGTGAGTGCCGCCAGTGGCCATGGAGGCAAATTCGGCAGTGAAGAAGGGGAAGAAGAGATGGGCATCCGGACTCGCGTAGCCCCTGGAGAAATTGGGACTAGGGCTGGAAAGGATCTCTGTTTCGGCCTCGCTGCAAGATGCAGACGGAGATGCGCATGCAGCTGCGGATTCGGTAAGTGTGGGGATTATGGCATGTTGGGCGTGCGTGAATGCATCATGCGAGAAGCCATAGGCTTTATCTGGCTTTGGGTCTGGGAGGAAGGGTGCCGTGTGGAAATCGGGAAGAAGGGGGACAGAAACGGACTCGGTCCATTGTCGTTTGATTGAACAAGTTAATGTGGGATGGAGACGGTGATCATCGGTATCGTCATAATGATAATGGTCATGGTCATGGTCACGGCCGGGAGTCAGGCGATTTCCTAGTTCCTCAAACACTTCCTCTTCTGTAGCGTTCCAGAGGCGGCGCGGGAGTTTGCTAAGTTCCTGCAGAGCGGCCTCACCATGCAACAGGGAAGAAGAAGTGGATGGATCGCGTTCTTCAGTAATGATCTGTTTAGCCTTCTGCATCAGGGGTTCGGGTGGCTCAGTGCGATATATGCAAATACCGCGATAGTCCAAGGGACCCTGGTAGCACAGACTCTCCGATGACGCAACTGAGACGCCAGAAAGACTCTGAATGGACGAGAAGCAGTGCGGGACTGTACTGGCAGATTCGTTGGGGAATGGCGGGATCAGAATATCGTTGTCAAGAGAAGGGTTGAAAGGCCAGGATGAGGTGTCTACCCAATGCTCAATTGGGCTACCTCTCCTTTGTACATGGAATTTATTGCCGTAGTAATGCTGAAGGTTATTGCCATGGTGTCTGCCCGTCAGCTCAATGGCGTCTTCAGCTTGAGAGCCTAGTATTTGATCTATGCCAGCAACGGGATGTTAGTGATATTAAGCCAGCACGGAGCTTCGATGTGACAGGGAACGAAATAGAAAAATGTACCAACCCATATATTGTATTCGAGGAATGTACTGTTCAACCCTTCAAAAAGAGACTGTGTAGTGCTAAAGGCAGTTCTTAAAGTCAAAAATTCAAGATGATTTCTTTTATATCAAAGCCCAGACAGGGGACAGTGAATTTGGTCGTGTATGAGCTCATATCACCAAGCTGTTTATTTGAATGTAGCCACACCACACAGATATCAAGAAGCTTCTTGCATCTAGTATAATGCATTGATTTAGCATGTCGTCCTATTTCTGTGTTGTTGTTCTCTCTGCAACTATAGGGGGAGGTTAGCTAGGTTGGTTTTGTAATGAAAATGCTGGGGCGAACCATTGTTAGTTGACCAACGCATGGCACTAGATCTTGTAGGTAAGGATGGTGATGATAGTAGCAGCGACCTATATTAATAGAAAAATGAATGAATATATTGCCCTGCTACACAGTAAACAGGGTTTGATGCTAAGATATGATGGAAGATCAAATGGTTCGAAACCTTGGACGAGCCATATTATCATGGTTGACTGCTACACATACTACTGCACGAACAGTTTAAATCACCGAGATGCCTTTCTAGAATGAATAGCAACAATCAGAAACGACATGGTAAAGTTTATCCCGTTACGGTGAGTCCGAGAATAGGTTTAGATATACCTAGTAGCCAAAAGGATATCATCTTTACAATTCGCTTCTTCTGCAATTGCATATCTCTATGAACCTGTTTGGAAGCTCTTGGAACCCTTACTCCCGTCTCCCCACATGATACGTAGGTAAATGCAAGCTACTGCGGCTACACCGCCAATTTGGACGCCCTGCATAGGCGATTGGCAGTAGATAGAACCCCCAACTGGACATTTGAAACGTGCTACGCAGCAGACACGCAGAGAAACAGCTCAGAAGGATGCCCGTCCGTAGTGACTTTTCTGACAAGTACGAGTAAATGGGGAAGCCATTTTCCAAAGATGATGTTGAGATATCAAAGGGTGATGGAGTTGGCCGGTTGGTTTGTCCAGGGTTATGGAGGTTGGCACTTCCCCAACATCATGAGATTCAACAGTCTGTAATGGCTCCTAACTCTGGGAAGTGTCACAGAAACACCCATCTTCTCTTCCGAACCAATCGTTGCTGTTCAGATTAGGTCTCTGCTGCTGCTTCTGTTCCCAAGGAAGGAGAAGGTTAAAGGAGAGACAGAGGATAACTGTATGTTTCTGTTACATGGCAGGTTTGCCCCGGTGAATTTGAGATCGATCGTTATGTTTTGTGTGGCTCGGATTTGGTCGATTCAATTTAGTGAACAGCACTCGCACCTTGTTTTTTGATCAATTAGACTGGATGCGGGGATGGTATTTTAAAACTCTTTCGAAATTTCAAAATGCTACTTAATAACCATGGAAGCCTCCATCAACAGAGAAACATCATGATGTGATGGGAAACAACATGGACTCGACAGAGCCTCCGTCTCCCCATCAGCTGGTCTGATTAACTCCTTCAAGCTAAGCTCAGTGACGCAGCTTGTGCTTCCTTGCTCCGTTCCGCCCGCTGCATAATGTGAGCCCCAGCCTGCATGTTGCACTAGACGCTGGGACACCAAAGCCGCAGAGGCCAAGAGATGAGAGCCCACTTTTCGAGGAGCCGGCATGATTCGGAGGTACCGCACAAAAATAACAACTGACATCCAGCTTCGTGGCAAGACTCATGCTTGAGGACGTGTTCTTGAGCATACGCAGTAGCTGGGCGGCAGATTGACTTGGCTAAGTGCTTATATATTTAATTTGCTACCAGTGCCGCCGAAGCCAATGACCGCCGCTGCTCTCGTTTTGAGGCCTGGAGAGATGTGTTTATCCAGTTTCCCAGCCCATTGATAAAAGTGACTGAGACAGGGCACATCGCGGGGAGCCTAGTCTTTCGAAATTGACCAAATATTTGGTATTTGTGGGGGAATGGAGGGTGGCTGGTCGAGTTTGGGGGGGTTTAACTTGAAGTCAACCCGAATATGTGTTTCACTTTGATGGCTCCGTAGGCGCAGTGGGGGGGAGAAAGAAAGAAAGACATGGAGGAACGAAAGCGAGGTCCAAAAGAAGAAAAGAAAAATGAAAGTCACGAAATTTTGAATATCAACGGGCCTATGAAGGTATGTATCGGCGGTTCATATTTACTGTGTATGCACCCACAGGTGTGAGAGCTGTCGTGGCAGCGGATAGGCGAGCAATGCCATTGGATCCGTCTTTAGGGCCCATGAGGAAAACCAACGAACGGGCCGACAGCCCAAAACTTGGGGTCAGCTTTACAAACTCCCGCTGTGAATCCATGGATCTACTAGTATTTGTGGATGGCATTGGCTATGCGTTGGAGGGCGAACAGCCCGGCCTGGGTTTATGTGAGATGGTTTAAGTAGCTAATAATAATAATATAATACAGGACAATATGATAAATATGGAGAATGGAATGGAAGGGGGATGGACTACAGCGTATGTGTCGCTTTATGCCAGATTCAGCTCTAAGTTTTCAAGATTACCAAACTAGTGCATGAGGGGTGATTGATCGTCACTGTCAGCAAGCCAGGAAGAAGAATCAGTCGATGAGTGAGGGTAGCTTTTCTAATGGGAAATAAATATCAGAAGAGCGGCAGAAAAACTATCATAGTTAGAACAATGAAGAAAAGCACTCTCTGTGTTGGCAAGTTAGCAGCATACTTAATAATAACTGATGCCTGGCAGGTCACTGAAACAGAAGCCTAGTCTAGACTGTTGAGTCTTGCCATCATTATTGACCG